ATCATTATACTGAAAATGCATATAATATTCCTAACCTACTGAAGACCGTTCCTTAGCGTACCTACTACATTAAATGTGCTCAAAACACTTATATTATCCTACAAATGGACAAAATGCCACAAAGCATCTTTTATAATAAAGTACTGAAAATCTCATGTAATTTATTGAATATTATATGAAAGTGTAAAACAGAATGGTTATAGGTGTACTGGTTGTTTACCCTTGCGACAGGCTGGCTGAGAGCTCTGAGTGGCTGCCTCTGTCCAGTATCAGAAGAGTATTGTATAGCACACTGCTAGCCCCGGGGGTGGGTGGGAATCAAAATCTGAAGTATAGTTTCTACTCCTTCAGTAGTTTTGAACCATTCTGAAACATCATAATGTCAAAAAAAAATCATCAAATTAACGATCCTAAGTCTGGGACTGTCTGTACTAAATATCTCCTTCAACCAGTGACCTTAGCCATACAAAATACAGCAATACAGACTTAAACACTGTGCCAGAGGCACTTTATTACTAATATCCTTCCCTTTCCTACACTTACTCTACATACAGTTCTCTAAGAAGCTAGTTATCTAGTTTCCCCTAGGTAGTTAATTAGATACAAATCTGTAAGAAAAAATTCAAGGAAGCAAAAGAATACAAGGTGGACCTTCCTCCCATCCCCTTCTCCAGTCTGTTCAGCTCTCTGAAAGCACAGAGTCAAAAGATGATACAGCACCAGTTCAGTTTACCACATATTTATTGATAATCTACTGAGTCCTATGCACTACAGAAGATACTAGAAATGTAAACATAAAAAAACAAAGTCCTACCTTTTAGGTAGGAAGGTACTTACAGTCCACTGGATGTTATTATGGTAGATAGAGTGGACAGTAAATTACAATACAGCAAGACATGTTTAATTACTGAGGTTTGAAGACTAAAAGAAGTACAACAGAAGGATTTGGGGACTCAGGAAAGATTTCATTGAAAAAGTGACACCAGAGGGGCACCTGGATGGCTCAGTGGGTTAAAGCCTCTGCCTTCGGCTCAGTCATGGTCCCAGAGTCCTGGGATGGAGCCCCGCATCCTCCCCGCCCCCCCATCCTCCCCTCCCCCAATCGGGCTCTCTGCTCAGCAGGGAGCCTGCTTCTCCCTCTCTCTCTGCCTGCCTCTCTGCCTACTTGTGATCTCTGTCAAATAAATAAATAAAATCCTTAAAAGGTGACACCAGAGTAAAGTTCTGAAGAATAAGAAGTTTGTCAAACAACAGAGAAGTGACAATAAAAGTACTCCCACCCACCCACACAAAAACATATGAAAGCAAAAAAAAAAAAAAGGAAAAATTTCAAGGTAGCAAATATGTCCAAAATATCTAGCTATATATAACTAGACTTAGACCCCACGTAAGCCTATACCAAATATTTAAGAGTATCCAGAAATGGGAAATTTTTTCTCCTATATAACTTATATTTCCGTATTATATAAGCTATGAAATGTTACCAAAAACCAAACACTATAAACCATCTTATTATTTCATAATGCAGCATACCCCCAAATGAAATGCCAAGAGATGTGCATCTGCATTTCAGAGAACAAGCTGTTAGAAAAACATAATAGGGAATTCTTTTTCCAGGTCATCCCTAAAGTACAGACAAAATAAATAAATGAACGAGCCATATCAGCATGGCCCGTCATAGAGAGGAGTTTTAAGAATTAAAAATAAAGGATGCCAAACAGAAAAACTAAAGCAAGAGGAAAAATATATATATAGTATTTAAGCTGAAGATGAAAAGACTCCATGAACAAAACCAAGGTCAAGATTTTAATTTTAAAACCTAAAAACCCTAATGTCTATTCTATTTCTTTTCAAAGACAGGCTTTCTGTAAGACATCAATTTTACAGCTCTTTGAAAATATCTAGTGAAAGTCACAATGTTAAGTATCACAGGTAGAAATTATCCTTAGTAAAGCAGAATGATCACCTATATCATCAATCAGAATGATTCCTATATCACAGCACTAGATCCCTTGATATTGTATGTACATACATTGGATGTAATTATATTCAAAAATTACAGTGCAACTCAGATTGACTCTGTCTGTAAAAATGCCCTACCTGGTACCCTGGTTTTCTTTTGCTTCTTTGTATTACAAAATCTACTAGAGGTCTAGGTAACCAATAAAATCTTATTTAGTAGTATCTTTTCCTAAGACTGTATCACTATTTGCATAAGCTGTCCTCACTGCCTATTAAGTAACCACATGGAAATAAATATATAATAATAGAACATTTGTATAGCTAAAAATTTCAGCATAATTTAAAAATACTATTTATCACTGCTTTTAAAGAGCAAGAAAAAACCTTATTTTTACTAGTCTATTAATGTCTACTCGTTATTTTATAAATATAGAAGTGAAGCATGCCTCTACTTTTCTACAGTGTCAGAAAATCTCATGAAGCAAATCTGTCACTGAACAGGGCAAAACTGTAACTTCCCATGGGTTGTGAAAAATTCTCTAAGAGTCTTTTAAGATACAAGTACCTTCAATACCATTACCTACCAGAGATAAGAACCAAAACAACTAGGTTAGAAGCACTTCTAACGGAATCTACTCATATATCTGAAGTACTTATTTTCTTACGAACAAAAAGAGATTTCAGGTTATAACTAAGGATCTCTGAAAAATCAAAAAGTAAATTAAACTTTGAAAATCATTAAGTAACAATACAGATAATTAGATCTCTTGAGGAGGAATATCATTTTGTGTTTTATCTTCAAGATCAAGAACCTCTCAAACGAAGGAATATAAATACACTTACATTTTGCCCCAATTTTTCCACAACATAAATTTACTTTAAAACCAAAGTATTACAGAAACTGAAAAATTTTTAAAGGCTGTATCTGTTGCCTGGGTAAGCATACAGGCAATTCTCATTCCCCAAGAGTATCAGATTAGGTTACAGATATCTCTATGTAGTATACTTGGAATAAAAGGGTTCTGCTTAAGATAACCTATTTTTATTGATACATTAATTAGGATGCAAAAAATGTGAAAGTTTCTCAATTCCTGTCTAAATTACAAAGTATGCACAGAAGTCACTGCAATTCACTGTCTTTAGAAAATGAGAAATGTACCTTTTTAAAAGTAAATGAGACTTACAAAGTCAAGAAAGTGGAACAGTTTTGTCTTTTGTTTTATATATAGTTACTTTTCCTTTAGATTTATTATCACAAAAGAACTACAAACTAAAGAGGAGTTCAACATACAAAGCTTACTAAAGATCCTGGTCCATTAAGCAATATTTCAATGAAAATATCTGAATGTAGACCTCTAACCATTTCAATGTAGACATTTTAACCATTTCAGTCCAGTGCAATTCTGAATCAACCTTTTTTAATCCGGGATAAAGTTATCTTCCAAAATTGCAAAAGATATGTGCTCACTGATGTTTAAGAAATAACTGCTGTCAAATATACTAAGTATTCCCAAACAATTCAACTTAAACCCATTATGTAAGTAGGTACTTTGAAACTTCTATCCAACACCCAATACTTTATTTCCACTAATGTTATTTCAAAAGGCGAATCAAAAGCTACACTTAACGATTCCTGAAGTCTAGATATTCCTAGTATCAAGCATGACAGGAAATGTGTTAACTTTGAACGGAATAAAGTATAGCCTCCCTCGTGAAGAGATTTTAACTCAGTACTCTCCACCATTTCTCCAAGAACGTAAGGGTTGATATTAATGTACTTAATTGTTAGAATAGGTCCAGAAGATTAAGAAAGGAGTAAGATTCTTTGACCAAAAGTTCTATGAAAATGAAACAGAATGTGTTGCATTCGGTCTTCTGGATGTTGAAAAGTGAAGGAAGGCCTCTCCTAGGATTCAAAGGAAGTTGATGTTTGGGTTCCTTCCGAGAGAGTGGTACCCGTATGTAAGACTTTTGTGGTGGTAATACCACACCTACAGGGGCAGGAATAAATGCAAATTCTAAAACACTGGAAGAGCTTTTATAAAAGAAAACTAGAATCCTCATTCGCCGAGGACTAACAATTAACAAGAGTCAGATTCTCTCTCTCCCAGCTGGACTACAGCCTCAACTAAAAACTAGGAAGGCCTCCTTCAACCCCACTCATTTCTTCCGTGAAACTTTTAAGTTAGACCCAAGACAGCACAAGGTGGAGAGGCCCCGGCGGAAGTAGAAAGCTAGGACGAGCAACTTCACAAACAGAAGCGTCTCGGGTTCCTCCGCCGCCCCAGGACTATCCCGTCTCAGTCTCTATCTCTCCACGCAAGCTTCACCCTCCGGGTGCGGTGGCAGAGAAAGCATTACAGTTGCACTCCTCCTCATTCTACCAACCATACTCTTTGGTATCCTAGGGCCTGGGGGCTTCTGAGGCCCGTTAGCCAGTCCCGTGTCCGTCTCCCCCAACCCCATCTATTACACGCACACACACACAAACACGCACAAGTTGCAGGTGATGTGGGTGTACTGAGAAAATATTAACAGCCAGAGACCGCGGCAGCTGCTGGGAACGCGGCAGCCCGTCTAAAGCGGACCCGGGCTCCTTGGCCACCGCTGCTGCCGCCTTCTCTTCTTCCCCAGGAAGCAGCGCGGCGGTGGCTGCTCCTCCGCGCTGGCGGGAGCCGGACGGAGCGGAGTCTAGGGGAAGCCTCAGCTCCCGCGAAAGGGACCAGGCCTAGGATCCAGGGCTGCCGCTGCAGCCACCCAAGTACAGCGACGCTTTACGTCCCGTCCACCACCCTCCTCATACACACCCCCTCCCTCCTCCACCGCCGCCACCCCCCCTCCCCGCCCGCTCCGCTCTCCCTCTCTCGATTGGAGCCGAGACAAAAGCAACGGGAAGCGGCGGGCCAGGACGCTGCCCGCGGACCCCGGGCGCGGCCGGGCCGGCCCCGAGGCATTCCCCAGCCTTGAGGGGGCCCCGAATCCGCCGCCCCCGCCGCGCGCCCCGCTGCCAGACTTCCGAAAATTTGCCAAAAACTCACCGCATGAATTTTCTTGTCCCGCGGATCCAAGATGGCGACGTATCCACCGCGGAGGCTGCTGGGAGCAAGACCTTTACCCTCTGACCCCCGCCGTGACCCCCGTCGTTCCGGCTTCACTGAAGGCGGCGGCGGAAGGTGGGAACAGCGATTGCCTACCGGACAGGGTTGGGGGTGGGCAGACCGCTTCCCGCGCGTTCAACAAGGGGTGGGGAGAGGCGCTTCACTCCCTCACCTTTTCTCCACGGCTTCCAGCCTGTCTCCCACCGATTCGTTGGGAGGCGCGCAGCCTCTTCGCAGCCGTTGTAACGATCAGGGCCTCTACGGCCGCTACAGTCCGCCTGGGGCCGGGTTGCTCTGCACTGAGCACTGGCCCTCCGTCCGTGGCGGGCAGCGGGGTCCAGGGGCGGGGAATGGTGAGGTGGCGTCGGCCCGCCCTCTCTGGGGACGCGGAACGTGTTTGTGTTTGTGTTCGTGTCGGACACCACGCCCCTCCCACGTCCGCCTGGAAGGGCCCTCACACCCACCCCACCCCCGACTCCCACCACCTGAAGCAAAACTGATCTCTGTCCCCTTTTCCTCCCTCAGCCCCCGCGATCTCCGGTGCTTGTGCACGCACTTCCAGGGACTGGCAGCATGTCACCATCACCTCCTGAGAAGTGAGTTTCCCTCTGCTGAAACCGTTGGTATTTTCTACTCACCACCATTCCTTTTTTTTTTTTTTTTAACTTGGTGGGAGGGAACTTACAGGGGAGCCAGTTTTTAAAGCACTGTTGCATGAGCTTGCGCTCGCCAAGTTAAATTTATAGCACTTTACCTCGCTCCTGCTCCTCAGTCCCCCCCTCAGTTTGAGTTACTTGCTGGGCTGTGAGCAAGACCCTTTGAAATTATGGTGCCTTTGGTGGAAACTTTGCGAGAGTGAAGTCTCTATTTTTCAGAAAAACCATTGTCACTCAAAATTAAATTTATGTTCTTTGAAATAATCTCTTTTTATTCCTTTGTATATCGCTAAACGCTTTCCTTTGTGTTACTATTTGACATTTTTAGACTTAAGAAGAGTCTCTGCAAGTGTGTTTGATTTGTGTAGTTTCATAAAGTGAATGGTTATTTTTTTCTATTTGAATGATAGAACATATTAATGTAAAGTACAAACCATTTGAAGTAAATAAAATTTCTACTTCCTTTGTTGGTTTCTTTTATACAATCACCTTTTCCTTCCTAAAAGAATCACTGTTAGACAATTTAAAATTTATGATTGAAGGGCAGAGGGCATCTGTCAGTCTTAAATAGCAAGGAAAATAAGCATACCATAAATGAAAGGCGACTTTGTTATGTTTACAGAATGGAAGGTATTTTTACATATTAGTAAATGTTGTGTGAATTAATTTAAACTGCTAATGGTGCTGATGTCGCCAGTAGAAAATGTTTTGCCTGGTTATTCAGTCCATTAAGCATTCTGCTTCACTGTTTTTTACTTCAGGAAAATTCAAAGAGGAGCAGCACCTCTTTATGTCGCTCCCTTCACTGACCCTAACGGTTCCTTCCTGCCTCTTAAACATTCTCTTCTACTCTGGAAGATGGTGTGTTAAAAGACTGAATATATCTCTAAGTAAATGTAATCCAGCTTCATCCTGTTCTCACCCTTCTTGCTTCCTTTCTATTTCTGTCATGCACCACCGAGCTCTTTCGGGTCTGTAGCAGTTAGTTGTTAGTTGTCCCTAAAATTTCTCCTTTTTTTTTTAATACTAATAGACATGGACACATGGCTGTCCAGAATAAAGACTATTTTCTAGCCTCTCTGTAGCCATGTGGTAGTTTTAGCCAGTGGTATATAAGCAGATATATCATGTGGCTCTCCTTTAATACTATCCTTAGAAGACAGATGGTATGCACCTTCAGTCCTTTGTTTCTTTTCCTCTTAATATCTTGCACCCTGGAATAAGGATGTGATGGCCTGGAACTCCGTCAGTTTGGGCTCTAGGCAAATCCTTAAGCTGGTGGAAACCTGAGTCTTTGAGACCCTTGTGGAGTGCCATACCAGCCCTACACTCTTTACATTCAGATTTTGATGTGAGGGGAAAGTAAACTTCTATCTTATTAAACCACTATTTGGGGTCTCTTGTTCTCAGTTGAATTTAATCTTAACTGGTACTCCATCTCAGGACCTCTGCACTTGCTGTTTTTTTGTTTGTTTGTTTTTTCTGCCTGGGATGTGCTTTCTCTATGTCTGTATGACTAACTTATTCTCATCCTTCAGGTCTTAACTCCAAAATCATCTCTGACAGGCCTTCCCTGGCCACCGTATTTAAAGTAGCTCCTTTCACCATTTATTCTGTTTTTTAATAGCATTTGTAATTTATCATTATCTTTATTATCTGGTTCCCTTCATCCTGCTAAAAATTTAAGTTACATGAGAGCAGGGACTACATTTGTTTTGCTCACTGCATTCTCCACGTGAAGTAGACATGAGGTAAGTCATGTTAAATGAATGAGACAATGAATAAATAAGTCAATGAATGAACGAAGTAGATTCTTATCTAAGATTAGGTAATCTTTTTTTCTTTTTAAATATCTCAAAAGGCTTCCTTCACATGATACGTAAAATCCAAGCAATGAAGCGGTTAGGAAAAGTAGTGCTAACCTAATGGAATATGCTAGCTTCCAACCCTGGATAATGAAGATGTATACATTTTTCTGGGAAACTAATAAGGCTGTTACACAAAAAAACAGCTCAATTGGGAAGGCATACTGACAAATCAGAAGAGTAGTCAGCATCACAACTGGGGCAGGAATTCCTACTACGTAGTGGTCTGATTTATGTAAGTTAATGGACCTCAGATTCTTCATCTAGAATGTAGGTAAGAGGAGTGCCTGGGTGGCTTGGTTGGACATCCAGTTCTTTTTTTTTTTTTTTTTTTTAAGTTTGTTGTTGTTGTTGTTGTTGTTGTTTTTGTTTTTTAATTTGACAGAGATCACAAGCAGGCAGAGAGAGGAGGAAGCAGGCTTCCCACTGAGCAGAGAACCCAATGCAGGGATCAATCCCAGAACCCTGGGATCATGACCTGAGCCAAAGGCAGAGGCTTTAACCCACTGAGCCATCCAAATGCCCCTGGACATCCAATTTTTGATTTAGGCTCAGGTCATGATCTCAGGGTTGTGAGATCGAGCCCTATGTCCAGATCCATGCTCAGTGAGGAGTCAGCATGAATTTTTCTTCCTCTGCCCCTCCCCCCACTTGCACACACACACTCTCTCTAAAATAATTAAATGAATCTTAAAAAAATAAAAATAAAATGTAGGTAAGAATCTTACACTTTCAGAGTAATAAAAAGGGGGTTTAGTAGTCCAACTTATGAGTGACATGTTATACATTAATTTGGACTTCAGGTATTATTTTAATAGGTGATTTATGTCTTGATAGTACTGGCAAGGATTCAGAGAAACAGGGCTTCTTAAATGTCTGAGAGTATAAATCCCCACACTTCCAGAGTGCTATTCGACAGTATGTATCAGAAGCCAGGAGCATGTGCATTTGACCCTGAAATTCCTCTTCTAGAAATGTATCATAAGGAAATAAGACTATATGTAGCAATTTGATTATAAGAGTATTCATTATTACATGGTTTATGAGGATATTGGTTAAGTAGGTTAAGCTATATATAATAGAACAGTATTCAGCCATTAAAAATGATGTGGAGGAGGGGCAACTGGCTTGCTCAGTCCAGAGAGCATATGACTTTTGATCTCAGGGTCGTAAGTTCAAATTCCACATTGGATATAGAAATTACTTAAATAAAACTTCAAAAAAATGATGTGGAGAAAATTTTATTGGCATGATACATTAAGTGTGAAGAGACATTTTAAAATGTAGACTTAACCCTTGAATAATGCAAGACGCCTAACTTCCCTCCCCTGCATGCGTAGTCAAAACTCAAAAGTGTACTATTGACCAGAAGCCTTATTGATAATACAGTTAACATATTTTGTATGTTATATGCTTTACATATTGCATTATAACAAAGCAAACTAGAGGGAATATATTAAGAAAATCATAAGGAATAATAAGTACAAAATATTGTACTATATTTGTTGAAAAAAATTGTGTTTAAGTGGACCTGTGTAATTCAAACCTTTGTTCTTCAAGGATCAACTGTAATTCCAGTTTTGTGAAAATTTTAAGTCTCCCAAAGATCCAACATGATATGGACAAAGGGTTAATCCAGCCTTGCAGAAGTATTATTTACAGCTATTTATATTTTATTATTTCTGTTTAATGGTTTTTTGATTTCCATTGAATAAAGAGTGTGTATAATACTAATTAAAAGGCTACTTCTCTCTTTATAAAAATAAGTGGATAATTGGGGGCAAGAGTACCACATACTTATTTGCCAAGCCTAATATCTTTTATTCTTTCTTCTGCCGTAAGCCCCACAAATAATTACCAATTCTTGTGTGTTTTACCTTCTAATTAAGACATAGTAATAGCAGCAACAGATGTAGCAGACACTTAAGATTCACTACATGCCAAGCACCATTGTAAGCATTTTACCTATATTAACACCTGAAATCCTTGCAACTACTCTATGTGCTAGGAACTGCTAAAATCAATAGTACAGACTAAGTTCTCTGCTAAAGCAGGAAAAAAAAAAAAAAAAGATTGGTGTGTCTGGGATAATTTCACCTAGTGGCTGTTTAAATTCCATGTTGAATGACTGATTAGATGTGGATGAAATGAAGGGACATTTTCAGTGAGGGTACTAACATGAGCAAAGGCAGATTGTATTTGCAAGGGCCACTATACAAAGTACCACAGACTGGGTAACTTAAACAAATTCATTTCCTCACTGATATGGAAGCTAGAAGTCTGAGACATAGTTGGTTTCTCCCCAAGGGCCTCTGTTCTTGGTTTGTAGATGGGTCTGTTCGTAAGTTTACATGTATTCGCCCCACGTTTGAGTTTGTTTCCAAATTTCCCCTTCTTACAAGAACACCAGTCATATTGGATTAGGGTATACCCATATGACTTCATGTAACATTAATTACCTTTTTTAAAGCTACTATCTCCAAATACAATCACATTCTGAGGTACTGCAAATTAGTACCTCATAAATTTGGGGGGGACACAACACAATTCGGGCCAGCTCAGAAGCAGAAATGAGCATGGGCCAGGAACTAGAACCCAGAGTAAGATAAGCAGAAGGAGGCTAGTGGAATTTATATAGAATAAGGTGGCAGATTTTGGAGTGCTTTAAAATGCAGAATGTAGAAATGTTGATAGATGGTTTTTAATAAGTCACTGCAATCAATCTTTTCTCAAGGTTTAGTCAGCACCAAAAAGGGGAAAAAAAAATAATAAGTTAAATAGGGGCACCTGGGTGGCGTAGTCGGTTGGGCATCTGACTCTTGGTTTTGGCTCAGGTTGTGATCTCAGGGTTATAGGATCCTGGGATCAAGCCCCATGTTCTGCTCTGTGCTCAACACAGAGCCTGTTTAGCAGACTCTGCCCCTTCCCATTGTGTGTACAAGCAGGTGCACACTCGCGCACTCTCGCTCTCTTTCTCTCTCTCTCTCTCTCTCTCTCTCGAATAAATCTTTTTTTAAAAAAAGAGTCATTTGTAGTATATCTTTTATCACTTTTATCACCTAACGTCACCACTGTCATCTTGCAAAGGTAAATTATCTGTGAATCAAAAATATATATATATAGCTATGTATCATCTCTAAATTAATGTGATGTAGGGGTGCATGGGTGACTCAGTTAAGCATCTGCCTCCCTGGAATCGAACCTCAAGTCGAGCTCCCTATTCAGCAGGGAGCTGGCTTCTCTCTCTTCTGCCTGCTGCTCCCCCTGCTTGTGTTCTCCCTCTTTCTTTCCCTCTCTGTCAAATAAATAAAATAAATAAAGTCTTTTTTAAAAAAAGACGTAATTTTTCCCCATTCAAATCACATAGAATAAAAGTTTTTTCTCCACATCGTGCAAAAGAATCAACAAAATACTTTTTAGTTTGCTTATTCAATTTTATCAGCTATTAAATGTTCAAGTGCATGGTTAAGCTGTTTTTTTTTTAATAATGCCAATTACTCTATGTATGAATTAAAAAGTATCTTTCACCTAAAAAAGTAAAATACCCCAAAAGTTTCAAGATTCAATGAATATATAATAGTAAATCAATTTAAAACACATGTAATCAGCCAATACATTTTTTCTGGCAATAAAAAAATTAACTGAAACCTGGCTTAAAAGAGAAACAGGGATTAAGTACTGAAATGATAGTAGGAATGATATTAATGTATATATACACAATTGATGAAAGAATTTTCTGTGCTTTTTAAATAGTAATGGATTTAGTGATAGCCATTCAATGCTGATGTTAATCTGTTTTATAACTGAGGAACTTGAAGTGGAAATACATTCAGTATAAAAGAAAGTGAAGATTATAAAATATATAGATCCCAAGAAAACCTTGGTCCTGGAAGAAGCAATCTAAATCTAAAGCAATCTAAATCCCCCTCCCTCCAACTTCAACTTATTCCATCCTATTCAGTAATCTTGCTCTCAGGAACTATTTTATGTTTATTTAACCTAAAATTTTTACATTGCCTTTTTGGTTTTGGATTTTATTTTTATTCCTTGAAAATGCCCACACTGCAAATTGTTCATGGATGAAATAAAGACTTTAACAGGTGTTTTTTTTTTTTTTTTCTATAAAACTATGGTATAAACTTGCTCAGTTTTCTATCTTGCTAATAAATGTTATACCCACAGAGTTTGTAAAAGAAACCCCTTCAGGACTAAATGTGTGAAGTATGCTGCAAATGTACGAGAAGTGAACAAAAGAGTATATAAACCTGCATTTGGACCACCACAGTACTGAGTGCTGACAAAATCATAACATGGGGAAAACTTTTTTAGAGAGGTGTGGTTCAGGGGCACCTGGTCAGCTCAGTCAGTGGAGCATGTGACACTTGATCTCCAGGTTGTAAGTTCAAGCCCCATGCTGGCTGTAGAGATTACTTTAAAATATATATAGGTATATATATATTTTAGTCCTGAAAGGGTTAAGTAGAAACCTTTATATATTATTGTTTCTAACCATCCATCACACATTACAGTGCTTGAAAACAGTCAAGTCTGGCACAAAAAATCACACAATTTCTGTCTACATCAGAAACAGTAGTTTTTTTAATCAAAAGTAACTTTGTTAATAATTGAGAAACATTGTTTCATAAAGGAATTCAGTTACC